TAAGGGCTCTGGGTACGAGATTGACATCACCCACCTACAACCCCCTAACCCCCTACAACCAACCTACAACCACCTACAGCCACCTCACAAACAATCTAAAACCTCCTAAGACGAGCCATAAATGTCTAAAAGTAAGGYGAAACAAAAACCCCGAAACAACATAGTCTTGCTCATGAAATACGAGAATCCACTGAATTTACTAAGAAAAAATATTATTTATAGGTAAAAATACCAGTAGAAAGTAAAACGTTTTTGAATTTTTTGTGGAAATAAAAATTTGACGAGAGAAAATTTGGCATGTTAGGAAAACGAAAACGTTTTATCAGCCTTAGATCCCTTTTAAATATTGATAGGAATTAAGAATCTACTCATGAAAAAATCTATAATTTACTGAATAGGTAAATATCATGATCAGTAGTTTGGGGAAAAATTAAGTTTGCGTGCTGTGTTCTCTGATCMTCCTCGCCAATATCATTGCCTACTTGCAGGAAACAGGCGCAGTCCATTGACTTTCAAATGGCTTCTGCTGACTTTAGACCAATGAGACACGGAAAGCCAGTACATCATCAATTTATAATGAAGGTAGTGTAGAAATGAACATTTTTGTATGATTTCKTTTCCTGGGCGACAATATCAGGCCCTTGGAGAAAATTTTGAAGATACAGTTAAATGRCTTTATTATTGACCAATCGRAAAGCACAAAAGCAACACATTGTCCAATCACAATCCAATAWAATGTGGAATAAAAGTTTCTCGTGAAGAGGTACTGATTATCGATTGGTTTCCGCTCGGGGGAAAAAAGAAAAGAAAAATAGCAAAACATATCCACTTACGCTATGCTAGAAGCTTAGGAGAACAATCTTCTCGTCTGTAACAATATCAGTACCTTGCAGTCATAATCAAATGACTTACTATCTGGGTTGATCCTCGAACACGAGAACTATGCATGCATTATCCAATCATAGTATAAGAATATGGAAACCATTTGAATGCAGAAACCATTTGAATGCAAAAACCATTTTAATGCAGAAACCATTCGAATGCAGAAACCATTTGAATGTGCAGTAACATGATTTTTGGGCAATATGCTTTGGGGGATAGAATAAAGAACAAGATTTTGAACACGAAAGCTTTAAATACCCGTTGTGCATCCGCGAGGTTGATTGTATACTTTTTTGATTGTATTTTTTATTTATTTATTTATTTATTTATTTTTCCTCTTTTGCCCTAAGGAAACAATTTCTCAGTCCAGGGAACTCAACAGTTTCTTTTTCTCATTTATAAATTTTTTGGAAAAAGATCAAATAAAAAATTAAGGCAGAAACGTCCAATAAATTAATTAGTCTGGGAAAATGTCGTCTGAGAAACTTTAGCTTCGAATTGATTTAACAGGCAAGAAACGAAAAAAACTCTTTTTGTTGCAGTTTTTTATAACTAGGGCAAGATTATGACAGCATATGGCTWTTTTAACATTTTTAATTGATTTTGATTGTCTTGAGTGAACAAAACACCCAAGTTGATTAATCTTCAGTAAAAGATTTATCTCGGCAAGGRACCTGGATTCATAACATCTGACATAAGAAATCTTGATGGTTAAGTGTGTATCAAAATTAATGCCCTTTTGTTTAATCAAAGAAGACAGAAATGACTRAATATACATTTTGAAGGCTTTTCAGGATTTGAGGCTGGCTGACACAAACCTGTCAAGGGTCATACTCCTTTCCCATTCACYCTTTTTTATTTACCATTTTAGCAACATTTCTGTATGGAAGAGAACTTCAAAATAACCTCCGAAGGATAGTAAAGAGATACAACGTTCTTGAATATATACAACGTTTGTATATAGGGTTAGCCTCAAGGCTAATTTTTTCAAAAATTATTAATACATGCATTTGTCATGTATTTGTTTGAATAAAGTAATAAGAGTGCTAAAAATAGGTTATTTGCATGGACATGTCACGTGGCTGCAAGCAGTTGTGCCAATTTGAAAATGAACATCAAAAATGGAAGAAGCCCCTCAATATTAGTAAGAATGCAAAGTTTTAGCTTATGATGTAGACTATAGGAGAAATACATTAAATATATAATAGAGTACTATTTCATAAGTATTTGTTGTATGGGACAGTGTGTTGGGTAGCAAACCCGTGACTTGTTAGCCCCTAGCCTCCATTCACATGATAAAATCTTACCCTCTTTACCCATGGAATACTTATAAAGCTCTCTTGAATGCAAGGCTAACATGTAAATACAAAAACAAAAAAGAAAGAAAGAAAAGAAATTATTAACTGGGTACAATCAATCCCACATCTTGATTAAAATTCCGACAATAATTAATTAAGAAATTAGAAAATTAAAAAAAAAAAGAAAGAAAAATCGACTCCACTTTGCCATACCCCCGAGACATCCGCAGAGCTGGGGCGTCGTATGGACTTCGGACCTGACGGCGATTAAATCCTTCTGCCCTTGGGTGTACGAATTACGCAAGAAAATGTTCTAGCCGAAGCATCAGGGGAGAGAC